CCAAACCATGCTATGATTCTATAATGTGGAAGCATAACATGGAATAGCAATATTAGTTATTCTATGCCATTTTAGCTACCTTTGGTGCAACGCAGTGGCTAGAAACCAGGGAAGGAGATGGCCAGCACCCCGCGGAGCACTGGGGAACCCGAAGGCATAGCTTCCAAATCACTCAGTTTGAGACGTTGTGTTATAGAGGTCCACCACGTGGGACCTGGGGACTGTATCTGCTTCTCCAACCTGCATCCACAATCTCTTTCAAGCAATTGCAGGACTAAATTGAGCAAGGCAACGCGAGAGACCAGATAATTGGAGGCACCTAACTAGTCTGCGCTTTCCCAAAACACTTTTGCATGGCTTGTTTAAGCCCGACAGCGGGACAAAGACCTTACTACAGAGAACACTGATATTTTCAGGGCTGCTCTCATTAAAGCATTCAAAGCAACGTCCCAGAATTTCACAAGCTTCAGGCATACATGGCACAAAAGAAGTTTTATAGGCTACGACCGGGACACAACAGGGTACGTATTCCAAATCCTGAGCAACCAACGTGAACCGCCGGCACACGCACCGCATTGCTAAGCCATCAGGTGTAGGCAAGCCCTTTATTATTCATTTCAAACTGAAGAAAACTTGAAAAAAAACACAGAAAGTGGCCCATAAGGGATATTTCTTGTTCAAATTGGATTCCAGCAAATTTTCTTTGCTACAGAAAATATAATTTTTCTTTTCCTACTTAGTTGTGCAATGTAATATCTCATAATCACATTTAGCTGGAACAATAATAGTAGCACTTGCATAATAGGAGCTGCAGAACCATTCTTGCTCAACAGCAGGAGCAGTGAAGTCATCTGAAGTGGAAGCAATGACTTTGCTGGTCTTAATGGCTTCTTCAAGTCTCGACTCAAAGGGAATGGGAAATAAGGCTATCAGTGTGAATATTTTCCAGAGAGTTTCTCATAAATCCAGATGATTTCATTACTTTTCAGAAAGTATCTTTCAATTACATGTAAAGGATCAGCTTCACATTACAAATGACAATGCCACATACGCAACCAGGAGAGGTTTTGGGTAGAACGTCTAGAGCTGACGTTCAATCCCAACGTTCATTTTGAAATTGCTGTTTCTATAACAACATGTAGCAGACAAGCCCATGTGATTAGTTTGATTTCATTTAATCTGTAAGAGAAATTTCACAACAAAGGAATCAAAAGATAGCTGCAGGCATGAAGTTATTTTCAAGAGAAACTGTTTAAGTAGTAAAGTATCCAAATATGTTTTAAATTGCATATTTTTTCCCTGATTTTAATTTAAATTGAAGAAGGTTTCACAGTCATTCTCCAGCAGTCTGACATTTTTGTAAAACGGTATAAGATACATGATTTACGTACCTTCTACATGTTAGCTTTAAGGATACTCAGGAAACTCCCAGCAAAGATATGGCACTAGCAGAAAGGTCTTTTTAATGAAGGAATCTATTTACATCTTGGCACATTAAAAAAAGAGTCCTAACACAAACAGGTCACGTTAACCCTGGTTTAAGCGTTTGGTATATGCACAAGTCTCACCCTACTAAGAATGATGGATGTTTTCCAGAAACGTTAAAGCCACCAAAAGCTGATTATTCTTTATGTCCCTACGCATCCCCAGTCATAGCCTAGCCCCTTCCTCGTACCACACCAGCATTTGTTTAGCCATGTAGCGAGCTGGCTAAGACAATTTATTAGAGGGAACCACAGTTAAAGCCCATCCTCCTCCATCCCCCAAAATGAGCTAGTTTTAACCCACACCAGTTCCCTTGCCCGACTCCTCAGTCAGCTGCCTTAACGCCTGCCCCGGCATAAAGTGGCACAGCAGCCAGAGCAAGCGACTGGACGGGAGGAATGCTGCTCTCGGAATTAGCGTTGGCATCAAGTATTCGAGTAGTACGGCAGCAGAACCCAGATCGACCCGCGCTTAACAGGTCTGTTTGCTTACGTAAGATGAATCTAGCTACGTCAATTGCAAAAACATCAAATTCCTCGGATTATCCGTACGTGATGCAACTCTTGATGACTGCTCCAAAAACAGTTTGTGAAAGCATCTTTTCACTCCAATGCTCACCATTCGAGGAGGTCCTTCCAATAACATTCCTAAATTGAACACTTCCATACGTTTTTAAAATTAAATCCTTAATGTTTCTTTAGCCGAATAGCAACATTTTTCAGTTTTAAACACAGCCTTTCCAATCGGGGTATGAAAAGCAGCTGTAATTTCGTCCAAGAGAACAGGACTTCCAAAGTTAGAGTGCACCCTATAAACCCAGCATTAAGAAAAGCAGCTTATTTTAAGGCACTAAAATATTCTGAACAAATTTCCAGCTCTCCTTCTAATTAAGACTGTGGCCAAATAACACACACCAACAAAAAAGCTTTTGTTACAATCCCACCTTGCTGAGGACAAAAGTCTACCAGGGCACTGCTACGGGACTGTAAGCAACACGTTTCTGAGGGCTGCCTTACGGAACTGTCATACAACAGGTTAGCACTTTTCCTACAGAAGAACATCCTCCTTTTTGCCTCCACGTTAACTAGTCTGTTGCAACAGAAGGAACCTACACCTGCAGGTAAGAAATGTAACCTCCTTGCTAAAATTTCAGCTGCAAATTTCACTGCAGCGTATCCCACCTGCATGCTACCTGCAAAGCGTTCTGCATACCAGCAGCTGAGAGCCTAAATGGCTGTAGGTACGGCTCAAACCAAAACCAACCTCCCCCAGAATAAACAAAACACCCAAACCAGAAAAACCCCATACAGCCAGTTTTACCTTGTTGATGGAAACTGTCAAGGCTGGCTCCAGTTTAGCCTCAATTTCTTCTGGAGAGTGGTAACAAAAGAGCTTCCCACCTCTCAGTACGCAGTACAGCCTCCTCCAGCTGGTTAGACTTCCTACCATTTGCTAAAAGGAAGGAATAGTCAGAAATCACCAAACCGACTCCAAATTAAGAGGGTATTATGAGGTACACACAAATCGGTCCTGCGTGATCAAAACTTAGCCACGCTGGATGCTTTCGTAAAACAACAGCTTGCTGGTGCAGAACCTTCCAGAGTCAGTGATTTCTGAAAAGTCAGCAGTACTTTAAACAAGTTTTTTGGTGTTTTACAGGTTTTGCAGATTTATTGTCTCATGACAGTCACAACACAGAACGTGCACAGACAGAACGAACTCTGGAAAACTGGTGCCCACTGTAAGAAAGAAACCACCTTTATTGCTACAGTAATTACAGAATGAGAGAAATAAAGAGTATCTCACTTTGGAAATACACAGTACACTCAACAAATGTCAAAGACATTTGTCTAGAAATTCCTCTTTCTCAAAAATTTTCTGAATGAACCGCTTAATACATTGTGGTTTCACAACTGGTTTAAAGCCTGTAATTCAGCACTCCTGACACATGACCCAGCCCCTCTGGCCCTCCGCTACCACCTCCTCGTTTGCCTAGTTGTGCAACGAACCGAAACAGAGAAGTAAACTGAGTTCACATGAATCATTTTTGAAGGGATGAGCTTAAATATGGCTCGGTTCACCAGTCAGATTCATCACGCTGTGATGTGAACTCCTGTGCTAACACAGCGAGAGGTACGTACAAGGATGAGAGCCACAGTGTTATTAGGACTGCCGCCGTTAAGTACCAGCCTAAACCGAGTCTGAAACAACAGCTATACTTGATCTTTATGCAACAGCCTAAATAATTTCATTGGTACATGCCAAGAAACAGTTATTTCTTGGTGCTTAGCTGCTGAAGGCACTGTTGGTAAATGCAGCTCTGAGGCAGAATTTTCCCCTTGCTCTAGACAGAACAGGTGAAAATAACGGTACTAGAGAAGCCACTTCAGGAAAAAGCAAATGTTTTAACAGTTGACTCTTAGTGACAGCTATTAACAGAGGAGGATGTAGACACGAGCAAGGTCGTCTTACCTGCTGATTAAGAAATCCTGCCATCATATCTCTAGTCATGCAGAAAGGCTGAGCAACTAAACGGCAACACATGTTTCCGTAGAGGGGCAGCCAGAAGGAGGATTCCTCTGGGGGAAAAGACCAGGCGAAGAAAACGCAAATGCTTACTTCCAAACGTTTGCCCTGAATATAGAGTTTAGCTTTCTACATCCATTTTTACATTAAGATCATGAATGTAAATAAGCATTTTTTATATACAAAGAATCCCGTAGGATTAGACTAAAACCAACTTCTAGCCTTCAGTTAAGTTTTTCTTTAATTAACAAACACAAAAAAAATTCCAAAAGAATTTCAAGTAAAAAGGGAGCTATTGTTCTGCAAGAACGAGTTGTTCTTACACAGAATATAGCTCTAAATCTCATTCACAGCCTGAAACATTTTGAAAGGTAAGTACACTGGCCATCTCACCTAAGTAGGGTCCCTAAGCCAATCCCATCATGGCACACAGCTACGCTTACAGGAGCACTTTGCTTCCGACTGTTTTATCAAGGCTTTCCTAGCCACTTCTGTCTTCAGCACCAGAAGAGCATTTAGGATTGAGGAGTTTCTAATGAATTGCAGCATCCCCCCTCACTCATCTCAGCTATGTAATAGGCTCTCGCTTCTGTAATTAGAAGCGAGTAATACAACGTTCCATTGACGTGACTCTCTTTGGTCCTGTTTTAGAAATGCTTGCAGTGAACCAAAATACCCAGGTATGTCATTTCTCACCAGGCTAAGATGTAAATTAATGACAGAAAAAGGAATTTGAAGAAGAAAGCACAAAGTACTAATAAGGAAAGGCTTACAAATTTCAGATACCCAGAATTATTCACCTGACCCTTCATGAAAGAAGTGTTCCATAAATCTTCAAATCTGTACTTGCTCAGAGTTTATGAAGTGTAAAGAATGAAATTCTGAGGTCAAGTTTACCTAAGCAAAAGATAAAGTTCCCGGAAGCTATAGTGAAAGTCCCTTGTCTTAAGTTAATAATTAAAGGGTGGCTTATGGGGGAGGGAGGTGTTATCCTTTCAGAAAATAACGGACAAAGTACCAAAACCTGTACTCCTGCTACCTAAAACATCACCTTGGGCTGCAGCATCGTTGAGAGGCCCTGCGCTAGTATTTAGGTCGATTGCTGCCAACTTGTGCTGTCCCAGAGCTGAAGTACAGCGCCCGATGCAAACTGCAAGCAGACGTGCTCGCGGCCTGTGTCAGTTCTGGGCCTGAAATAACCGAGCTGAGCTGTAGCTGTTTTTCTGCTTTCCTTCTGACTATGGAGGAGAAAGCTGTTCTGCGTTCTGATACCCTCCCCTGGTTGTGAGGAAGGGGAAATATTTTGTATATAGCTACAACTCGCATAAGAACGAGATGCAAATGACAGAAGAAACTCCCAAAAGCATTAAGTTTTCATCTGGACTTGAAATTTTCCTCAACTTATAGTTTATTCAGCTGTGTATAGATGCCTATTTTAGAGCCGTTAAATATTTTATTAAAGTTGTTCTATATTGAGTATCAAGAAAAATAATCTCTTTAAGCTCTTTAGTTTACAAGAGAGAGAAATGCAAAATGTTACTGGGTTTTTATTTCCTTAAATTGGTACCATATGTACTTACCATTTCCTGTAATGGTAAGGCTGTGGGTCCTGAAATTGTCGTCAGCACTCTCCAGTCCCAGAGTGGTATATGCTAGCAAACTGTACTTGGCACCGCTAAACGTGAAGGAAAAGGCTCGATTAAGACACTTCTGCCTCATGTTGCTCAGGCAGTAATTAAAGGCAGTCGAGACATGCCCGAGATAACACATCCAGGTACCAGGGAACACCAAGGTGCACGGCAGCACCTGTAGTGACCACAGATTGCCACCCCCCGACATGCACCCCACAGAACTCTCCCATTTCTGTTTTTCCTTGGAAACCAAGACTGTCCCACAGTTTCTTCATCTGTTGCCTGTATCCTTGTCTCCTGCCTCCACCCATCACAGTACCTCCAGTTCCCTCCCACCCCACAATTTCCAGGCCCCACTGTGCAGACCAACACCACGAGGCCCCATCAGGTGGTTCTTTCCATAGCCACCTCTCTGGGACCTCCTAGCCAGGAGACATGTCCTGTGGCCACTGCCTACGAGCTGGGCTCAAGCTTACTGCTGAGCCAGCGGCTGCCAAACCCCGGCGTAAAGGCTGTGCTTTCCAACCCTGAGGATGCTAAAAGCATCTTCCTCCTCCGGTCAGACACCAGGTAACTTTTAATAGTTTTACAGCTTTTATTCCTAGGTCTAAACCAACTAGATTCCATAGTAGGTTCAAAAAAATGCTATAGTTAATAGAGCAACCGATAACATAAATCTTATATGAAAATGCGGGTTAAAAATTAAAAGCCTTTATGTTGCTCCTCCATGCTGCTCTGCTCTTTTGCTTTGTCTGTGTAGACTACACTTTATAAACCAGTTGTTCATGTATCTATTTCTTCATAGTATCTAATAGCTTGATTCTTCACTAAATCCTACAGTCAGTTCTGTAGCATAAAAGACTCTCACACTTATTGTGTTTACAGGTTTAAGAATGTTATATCTTTGCCTTGGATTTTGTCTAGGGGGAAAAAAAAAAAACCACCACGTTGACAATTCAGCATGGTGCATGCGGCATGCAGTTCTTGGAATAATCTAGTATAAGTTTGGTACATGTTTAACCTTTTCCCCCAAATACTCTTTGGACCAAGTAACAGATTTACAGTCCAGCAATGCAGTCAGAATCCCACCTGGCTAATGGCAGTTTAAACAAAGTGCACAAGAAAACAAACCCCCCACAGTCATTAACTACTCTCCTTAACAGGATCTAGTGCAAAATCCTCAAAATATCTTCAGTACAGCGTAAGATAGCTCAGTGGCGTGCAAGGTGAGAGGAGGCTACTGAACTAACATCACTAAAAAACGAGTTTTCTGTCATAATATTTTTCAAATGTTATTTTTCCTAATAGCTCAGTGGGAATGTACCATCTTAAAAATCTTTGGCTCCACAAAGGGCCAAGGCAGATGCCTACCTAGCCCTAACCCTGATGAAAGAGTAGGAGGAAAAGTAGCAAGTACATTAGCAGGGAGGTCTGTTACATATCTACCTCAAGGGAATAAAGGGAAAATTAAACAGAACATTCTGGGTGATGAACCACTGCCGTGAAACATTTTGAGAGGGCAATGTGAACGAAACACACTTATCAGCATTTGTATATACTCCCTGTGCTAGACTGCTCCCTAACAAAAGATTCTCCACGACCATGGTTTGTCATGAAACTGAGCAATATGTTACCATTCCATTTAAACTGTACCAAAAAGTTCAGCTCCTTCTCACAGATAAAACTTCTGTGCTGATTTTGAAGTTACTTTTTTTTCCCAAAGCATGACTAATTACTGCAACAACCTTGCCAAAAAAAATAGCTACTTCACTTTTAAAGTATGCTTCACAGTAACATTTTCATTCTAAAGCGTAAGTCATTCTTTTCAGCCAGCTGCAATACAATTTAGAAAAGTTTTATCTGCAAATATTTTTCAAATTTAACTGGCTAAACAGGATCGTTGACTATGTTTTGCCTCTGCAATTCACAGGATTAGCTGACTGCCTTAAATGGCAGGTTTTTTGTATAAGGAAGAATGATCTGCCTGCTGCATCTCATTTGGTACTTTGCATATCTATAGTATGGTTCCACACAGTGACTTTATTTAAAAAATAAACCAGCTCATCCCTACACCGTGCCTGCGGCAAAGGCTCGTTGTTAAGTCTGCTTACTGCTCGAGAGGCAGAGGCACCAAAGCTGCCACACAGACGCTGGCGTGGGAAGGTATCGCTGTATCGCCCTTCCCATCCATGCATATTAATACATCGCACGTGTGAAAAGCAAAAAAAAAAAAAAAAGGTTAAGCTGGAATAGGAGAATTTAGCAGGCAAAAGACTGTATGGAATTGAAAGGAGAAATCATTAAGAGCAGAGAGAACATCAGTATGACTGACCTAAGCAACCGTTCAAACCACTTTGTCACCAAGCCTTTGCAAGAAGTTACAAGGCTGACAGTTTCCTCCCTAAGCAGGGGGGTTTCTAAGCCGAGAAGTTTGACACAGAGGGATCACAGGGATTTTGGAGAAGCAAGAACTTTGTCCCATGTGTGCTCTGAAAAGAAAGAGGCCTGTACAAATGAAACCTACAGAGAAAAGGTGTTCATAGAATACAGAAAAGTTCCCTTTTTTGTTGCAGTTTAATTTCACCTGCTGGACTGGTAAAATTCTCTGGGAATACTTGAAAGATCTCTTGTAATCTTGCAATCATTTCCCCTCTATAAGGGCTACATACCAATGTCTTGCTAATATAAATCCTAAGGGGGGCCTATAAGGAAAAGAAGACAACTTATTTTCTGCCCCTAATACCCATTTCTTTCCAAGAATGTTTTTAATCACCTAGCAAAGCCATCACTGAACGCACCACTGTTCACTTAACTCTGCTAAAGTCACAGTGAGATGATTATTTCCAGGAGAAACACCACACTTCAAGATGGAGGAAAGCAAAACACAATTACAATTGAGAAAACAAAGGCAGGACGGGAGGGAGGAGGCAGCTGTTTAGACAGCCTCCCAAGGCTTCTGCCTTAGAAGACAACGGGCGAGGAACACGGAGAGCGAATTAGCTAGGGGTTCTGTGTGAAGCAAACTGTCCCTCACGCCAGTGTCAGCACCCATCTGGAGCTCGCGGAAAGCGGGGCCGCCTCGCACGCTGCCGACCGAGAGGTAAACTGTCAGTAGGCGAAAGACGCTGGAAAGTTAGCACTAAAATCCACTTTGCCCTGGGGAAGATCTCTGGGATGTGTATCTTTGACTGAAACAGTAAGATGAGCACACAGTAATATCCATGCGTCCAAGACAGCATCTGCTTGTATGATTCCTTTTAAAATCCAGGCAAATGGGCATGTGAAGCTAGACTAAGACTAGGCCTGGCAAGAGTTGGGTGTTGATTCTTTACTGTTCGGCCACCAAAAAGAGTAATTTGTTGGAAAAAAAATGCTTTCTTAAAAAAAAAAAATCAATATTATTAGTATTTACGACTTAGGTACTTGGCCTGCTTAAATTCCAATGAAATTAAAGTAGCTGGGGAACACTAGTAGGCAGTTAGCTTCGATTAAAAAAATGCACGAAAGACTTAAGATCATTTTTAAAAGGAAACAGGTAAATGCTGGGAACACTGAAAACCCTTAAGTCATTTTAAAGCATTCTGTGCTAAAGTCAATTAAGAAAACTCCTGTTAAGCTGCCTGTAACTGTAAAGTGACGTTGACAGTCCAGAGTCACACTGAAAAGCGAGCGAGCGGAACGGCTCCCACATGCAGAGCACGCACTCCAGGCACAGCCAACAGCTGGGTCAGGTTCTTTAGGGGAGAGGGTAGAAGGGAGCCTTCTCCTCCCCCTCCACTGCACACAGCTGTAACTTCCCCACACGTCTACCTGTCTGTCAGGTATGAGCAAAACAGGAGGGGGGCGGGAGTACATAGGACAGGGGAGGAGGAGAGGTAGGTGGACAGAAGGACACAGCCAGACTGATCACACAGGCTTGATTTCCTCTGGAGAGCAAACTGTAAAACACTGCAGTTTGCAGAGAGCAGTGGATTTACCAGCTAGCGGTGCAGCAGAAAGAGGAAGCCTACTCATATGTTTCAAGATCAGAACCAGGCCCCAGGGCTGAGAACCGTGGTTGGAATTCACACCTACTTTCTCATTTCCTATTTAAAATGTAAATTTTTTTTCACTCTGCTAAGTACAGAAATAATCACTTTCTTGGCAATTTTCCAAATATTTACAATATATCTGTCTTATTTCTATTTTAAAAATGATAAATCCAGAATATCAATATATATGGCTTACTGGATGACTGGGTCAGCAGGCAAAAGGGATTCAGTGCTGTCTTCTTCCAGCACAGCTTTGAGTTTCTTCCCCGTAGCTTTGCTGAAGGATGTTTTCAGCTTCTTCGCTAGTTTCTTAGGAGTGTTTGTTAGATATAAAGGTTCCTCTGTACAGCAACTATATATTTCAACCTTCACCTGGAAATCTGGTCTTGCTTCATCACTGAAGGAGGAGAAAATGTCAGAGCATTTGTTAATAAAGCGAGTACGCAGCCAAGGACCACTGCTGCTCCCATATACATTAAATAACATATATTTCTAATCAAGGGAAGGAATGCTATCACATTCAGGTGAAGACATGCATTAATATGGTATTAAAGACTAGAGTACACACCAGTAACTTAGGGTTGAAGTCATGGGATGGATGTTGCAATTAACCATAAACAACTGCAAACAGGAAATTCAACATTTAGGTTACAAACCGAAACAAAAAACCCAGCGATGTTATGGAAATACACAGACAAGACATTCAACCACACTTAAACCTGCCCTCTGCTGTTACGCAAAAACCACAGGCCTAACCGTGCCTGTGGTTCTAACTCGGGCCGAAATGCTTTAATGACACCTTAGTCGCACCCCAGTCCCTTCAGTCACTGAAAAAAGCCTCTCACAACCAGCAAAAGCTGTCATTACAACGTAACTACCTACTGCCCCACTCTCCGGGCCACGGCTCACTCTTTCTCCGTCCTCAGTTCTACCGACTCCCAGGTTCTCGAGCTCTGTCAGCAGCCAGAAGCCTAGCCTCACCCTTCAGGTACAAATCATGCCTTTACACACATGCCCGTAACAAAATCACCCCAAAGGCTTTCACAAGAAGTCCTTCTTTGAATTAGAAGGTCTTTTCTGCTTTTGGTGCAGTTTTCCCCAGAAAATTACAACGGTCAAGTCTCATATCTTTGAAGAAGCAGATTTACACCTTTGCCCCCACTCTTCACTTGAACAGCTGTTTAAGAGTTTCAAGTCTGATTTAAAGATCCACTCTCTCCTGAGCACTCAGTTTTCAGGCCCTTGATTTAAAGTTTTCAGTAGTTCTAGCTCTCCAGCCAGTCTCCCTCAGGAGATTGAATCTCAATTGCTAATATCGAAAATACAGCGGGGGTGGGAGGGAGTTAAGTGCCTCCCAGGACTCCCTTAAAAATTACAAAGCAACGAAGAAGTGCATGAGAACGACGTTCTACGCTTTCCCAGGTTAAAGTGAATAATTTCCTGCCCAGTCTCCTTCACCCCCAAGGACTGTGGGTGCAGCACACGCACGTACAGGTGTAACAGCACGAGGTGTGGAAAAGAAGGTCTGGTTCTGAGAGAACTGTGACTTAGGAGAATATCAGAAGAGGCCATAGCCCGCTGTACAGGATAATACTTAAAACACTGGGTGCAACATTCATCCCCATATGTTTATAATGCTTTTTGGGTCTAGTATTAGTGAAATTCTGTCCTTGAGGTGCAAGTTTGTAAATCTCTCTATATAAAGAAAAATGCTTCCGCGTGGCAAAAACAGAGTGGTACAGTTGAATCAGCACACCTACACTCAGCATCCCCAACCTTCCAGAGGTGGGGATCTGCCATCCGCTGAAGTTAACAGAACCTCTACTGATTCCTTTGCCCACAGAAAAACCTAGTGGACCTCAGCCAATCTTATTCATAACCATATCCACTTTCAGAAGAAAACAGCGACATTTGTACTTTGTTCAAGAGAAATAAGTTATACTCACAATATGGTTAGATTTTCAAAGCAGATATCTGTTATTGCTTTATCCACAATGACCACCTCTGTATCAAAAACCTCGGCTCCCAGTCTGAACAAGCAAAACACCGCATAGCGCTGTGATTCTGGGGAGAGCCAAAGAAAGGTTTTATTAGCCATCATAATACTAAATGCTTGCAAGAAACAGAAGTAGAAGAGATGGTAATTCGGACCTCTCAGGAACTGCCCTCAAATTCTTCCCACTGTAAATGATGTCTCATAGGACTGTATGATAACTGGACTAACAAAGCTGCTGTAGAGCTGGAACAACATTCACAGAGGGAAAAATGCCCAACCTTCTCTTTTTCCCCCTGATAACTGGGGGTAGTTTGTGCTAGCAACTTCAGAAATGTTAGTAAAGATGCAATTTTGTTTAATAAAACTGATGTTAAGCAAAAAACCCCAAATATTTGATCCAAAGCCTGTATCATTTTATGAATGTACTATATGGGATTAGACTGTTTTGACACGCTTAGCCCCTCTGACCCTATTGAAAATCAAAGTGAAATCAATGCCAGGTGACAGCTGGAACAGATTTAGGGTTAATCTCCATGACACAGCAAAATGCATGTACTTGAAGACTACCCAATAATCCACTCAACACCAACAGACAACTTTCATTTACATTCCTCACTGGAAATAGCCTCAAATCTACTCTCTCAAACGCAGACAAGACATAGAACAGCATGTTTAATCGGAAGTTTCTCAGCTATCCATTTAATAACAACACTTTTCCATTACTTCTCCTGGAATTTCTCCTCAAAAAGTCTTCTTAGAGACTAAGGTTTAAACATACACAACTACAGGACTTCGAAGTAACTCAACCTGCTACAACCGGTGATTTCAAGTTAAGAACGCAACAAACAGAGTAAAACATGGACCTACTGAAAGGTCAAAGACGGGGTTGAAATGAGGACGGACTTCCCCGTTCAGTTTAGATTTACAGGCATAAGCAATTGCTTATCACAGTAGTTCGCTACGTCTTACGTACTTTCTTTATTGCTGAAGTGATCAGAGCCTTTCCACATTAGCGGTATGCGAATATCTAAAGGGAGGAAAAAACAGCAGGGAAATGAAGTTATAGCCAATGCTGTAGATCTGTGATCAAAACACTTTACAAAACATTTCTTGCTGCTTTTCCTGATGGTTCTGGAGCTAATGGGACCTTCTACTCAATGAACAGCATAACTATTGCAATTTTGTTATCCCTGTCAGAAGAAAATCCATTAACTAGTTCAATTTGAAGTGTCATTTTCTTTTATGAATTATGCTAGGACAAAGAGTATTTTAAATGTCATTTGAAAGTACCCGAAATAAGATTTCGGAGTGGCTGTGTAACACAGATCTGAGCGCTATTCTCAGAACTCAAAGGGTCTGAGCCCATATTATGCACAAATGTAAACTGAAACTCTGCTCCCCTTGTGAGGGAAAACACTCGTCCAACTGCAAGAAGAAAAACTTCCTGTTTTAATGGAAGCGACTGGGATACTTACACTGCAAATACTTATGTCTTGTTTTGCTAACCACAGAGAAAATATCACAAGTAATCACATTCCCAGTTACAATTGTCTTAGTTGGCATAAACAGACTTTAAAACCTTCCTTAAAAAAACCCCGAATATCCTTCTCCGTCAGAACCATAGTAGAGAGGCAATTACTGACCCATTATTTTAAATCGTGCCTGTCGTTTTAATATTAGGAGTGGATTTTCTTCAACTAATTTTCCAATTCATCTACTCAATCCAGCACAGTCCTGAGTGACGTTTTCCTCCAGTTTCGAGGACTCAGGTTCACACATAACATTTCTTATTAGTCCCTTGTTAAAAGACAAACGCAGTGACGGCTGTATATTCCAAAATTGGGTTTTTTTAAGTACAACACGCTGTTGTTTAAAAGCCCATGCAATATATTAAGTGACACACGATGGCAGCAGTGAACAGCACTAGCTTGATAAGTATCTTCAGTAGTGCTGCCAAGGGGCATTAGACTCCAGCATCGATCTTCACATGAGCCTGATGGAAAAATCCACGTATGGTACCCTAAGATGCAAAACAGCATGGTGCTTTGGCAACAGATTGTCAGGTATTACTACAGGGTTTTACCCACAAAACTTCCTGTTGGTCTCACTGAAACTCCATATATTCACTGTTTCAGAAGCTGTATTAAATTAAACATTTAAGTTCCTTTTGATTATATTGGGGGACATCTTATTTTACATGCTATTTCAATGTTGCCACGTGCAAATTCATCTATTTTTAAGTGTTCATGAAAACTAGTAGATTTGCAACAGTGAACTGCCAGTATACAGCTTCAGATTGCCACAACTTCCTAAAAATCAATACTTCGCCACGTTCCGAAACTGCTTCTCGCTTCTACAGATGCCTTTGCATAGTAAGCATTTCCAAAAATAGTTATTTTTTTAAAGTAAGGAAACAGAAATTGTTTCAGAAGTCTCTCTCGAACTTTAAAAATGTAAATATTTATCTGTCAGAAACAAAGCACAGAATTTTTCTTTCATAAAAGACAAAGGTCTTACATTTACATAACTGTAAAAATGGTTACAATAAAAGTCTTTTTTCATCTTTCTTCATAGTAAACTTTGAATGACAATTTTAATGTGCTCAATAGGTCTTGTAAACAATTAAGAGTGTTAGATTAACGACTACTGCTGTGTGCCACTTCTGCGTTCAGGCTCGCTGACACACCGTAGTCAGAAAATCATCAGGATACAGACAGTTGGTCGATTCAACAAGTTTAGCATGATATTTGTAAATCCCTTTTCAATTCACTCTTGGATTGAAAGAGCTGCCATGTATCAAAACCAAAGATCAATTTTCACACCCCTTTAGTTTCAGTTACCACTACCATTAGTAAATCCGTGTGGATCCAAATTGGATACATTCAAGCACTGCAATCAGATTTAAAGCCCATGACTCTCTCATAAAATGACTTTACATTACGATCATGATTTCTGATCAACATTTAATGTTTTGTCTTCTGACAAAACACTTGACGTGTAACATAAATTGCATAGTTTATGAACACACGTGGGATAAATAGGTCAAAATAATGGAGGTGTGGAAATCTGTGGATTAAGGAATGCACTCCCCACACAGTATCTGACACACAGTTGCTTTCTGTAGGAGTGCATTCCTCAATGCTCCTGCATAGCTGTCCCGGAGCTTTTCGTGTTGGCCACATGATCACACTATTTTTTGGTAATAACCTAAGCTGCTGGCACGCACTAACCATATGCCGTGCTAATGGATTTATAAGTGGGTGGATTACTTTCCCCTAAAAAATCCATTCTGTGTCTTCAATTCTTCAATTACGTGCCCTGTCACATCACACAGACTACCACTCGCTCCTCATTTCCAACCTCTCCCAAAGAATTCAGTCACATGTCCTGATTCACGCCGCCCGCATTCGCAACTGCATTCTCAACGAGGCGGGCACCTGTGCCTTCCAAACACAGGGGGCAACTCCAGTCGCAAACCCACTGAAGGTCGGCATACAAGAGAGAAGAAATGCTGCACGCCCAAGGTGCCATACAAGGATTGGGAAAGAAGGATAAAGGAACATTACAGATGCGAACATCCTGCAGCTGTGGAAGGAGACAGGATCTGGTTTGGCACGCTAAATGGACACAGGGTGATGGGTTAGAGGACAATGAAAGGAGGAACCGGGGAAGCACGTATTAATGTCACCTCAGGGCCTCCCAGTCACATACCTTGCCGAGAGGCTCCTGCCCTTGCCAAGCATGAGCAAGCCTGGCTCGACAGCGACTTCTCACGTACCTCAGTCCTCTGCTTCCCAGGCAGCCACAGTGGGAAAAAAAGGAGTCAATAACAGACAAGCTATAGAAAGCATCAGTCTCTCAGCAGAGGCCCAGAAGAACATTCAGGCTTTGCTGCTCTACACGAGACTGGGCTAGGCTTTCTGGCACGAGTGTCTGAAGAAAAGCAAGGCATGGCAGCATCCCCGTGCTCCCAGACTAGAGTTCACAACGGGGCAGTTGATGCTTCTTTCTCTTCTTCGCCTTGATCAATGTCACACCTCCGAGGATCATAACCTCCCGTTTGAGAAGCACGATGTTTGTAACTGGACGGAATCACTAACAGATGGCACATAAAAGGACGTGGTGTATTTCACCATTCCACTCTTGCTTCATATTCTAAATACATTTTTCACACTAAAAATAGAGTCCTTAGACAACCGATTTTCTAAAGATAACAAAATGTATTATATGATCCAAAAGTCTTCACTGCAGATAACTCTATAAATCCCAAGAAAGGTGCAACCACAGCACAGACAGGAAAACAGATGCTTCATCCAACTACCATAAGGAGGAAAGACAGATACACATTCTGCAAACAGCTGTGCTGGCAGAAAACTTTATTGAACCATGTGCTCATCACTCTTCTACTAGAGGTTACCTTGCTTAAAGTATGTCAAAATATGCAGAATTAACTTAAAGAGTTTAAGTAGTGAGCCCTTCTACACTACTTCATATTAAATAAAGCAGGTCAGGAAGCACAAATGGATCTGTTAGCAAAGGTAGCACAACAGCCACAATGAACAACTACAGGAATGCTGAACCTCATAGCATCCACTATTGGCACAGGCAAACAAAATGCTAAATTCATAGTGCTGAAGTCTGAGAACAGCAGGGGAAACAGTGTACCAGCCTACTGGAAACCACTGCTAAACATTATTGTTACCAGTTTGTGCTGCAGCCATACCACTATACCTTTGCTGTAGTAATGTAATCTGCATTAACTCAATTAACATTTGCATACTGGTTATAGTTCTGCCCTCAATTTGTTAGGGATACCCTGTGTAATCACAGCAGTGTTTGTCTTTGTGGGGAGAAAAAAAGTTATCAGCACATTTACAGTTACTTAAATTTGAAATCTATTCAGTGTCTAGCGACAGAGAAAAATATTTCTCACTGTGAAAGTCCCTGAACGTAAAATGGCAATACGAGGTAGGATCTTTGAAAGCACGTGTGGGACTTAAAAGCACAAGTCCCCTCGAAGCACAAGGGGATTTACGCCCCTGAACCACATACAGACTTGGAAAAGCATAGAATCCTAGAACAGTTTGAGTTGGAAGGGAC